AGTAGCTTAATCTATAACAACATGTGTGTCTGTGTAATAAACCCAATAGTTAAAGAGTGTCATATCTGTGGAACAGAAGCAGAGGCTACCTTGAGGTGCTTCCGGGGCTTAGTGTCCCCGCGGCCCGGTCGTCGACCAGGCCTCCTGGTTGCTGGACTGGCACCACTATTGCACTACTTACTGTAATGTGAAGCGACTGAAGCCTTGATTGATAAAGATTAACCCACCCAAGAGGTGACACGGGCATGAATAGCCCGTAATGAAGCCCTGCGCATCAAACTCAACATTAATCCAACGACTGCATCTGCATTAGATGCAAATTCCACAGCGGCTACAATGATTAGAAAAGCCGTTGAAGAATGAGCCTCACTAGTGAACATTCTGCATCTATATCCACCACCAAGATAATGTTATTAAAACAAGACTAAAATCAGTGCACCAAAACAGAAGCGAAAAAGAAACGGGGAGAAAGGAGGAAACCCCACCTCTATTTAAAACTTTGACCCAAATATCACAGTAACAAGGTTATCGCGAATAATTGAACTCAATTACGGGCTCACCATAGCCCGTGCTACTGGAACTTCTTGTTCTGAGTAGCTGAATCTAAAACAACAAACAACAGGTAATAGAGGTTTAGTGCGTTAAAGCACCGCCAGCATCTGTCTGGCGCCACGCACAGGGTGGCTACCATGCGCCTGGTAAACAGTGGCATCTGTGTGCACGTGACGCGAGTGAAGGATGAACTTGTGGCACGAAAGGTTGTGTGGGAGTGTGACGGGAGGGGTGTTGTGTGGGTGTGTGACGGAAGGGGGTTGTGTGGTAGTGTGACGGGAGGGGGGTTGTGTGGGTGTGTGACGGAAGGGGGTTGTGTGGGTGTGTGACAGAAGGGGGTTGTGTGGTAGTGTGACGGGAGGGGGGTTGTGTGGGTGTGTGACGGAAGGGGGTTGTGTGGTAGTGTGACGGGAGGGGGGTTGTGTGGGTGTGTGACGGAAGGGGGTTGTGTGGGTGTGTGACGGGAGGGGGGTTGTGTGGGTGTGTGACGGAAGGGGGTTGTGTGGGTGTGTGACGGAAGGGGGTTGTGTGACGAGAGTATCAATGGGTGTAAGAGAGGGCACCACAGACCACACATGCACCTAGCAGGGAAAGGAACACACATTAATGGTTTGTGTGAGTGCAAGTGTGTTGAGTAGAGCTGGTGGGCACTATGGTAGAGTTGTGTGACAGCTGTTGTTGGGTGTGAACTATCTCACTGGCAGTTGTGTTTATCATATAGCGGAAACACCTTCCTGTCCGCAGGACATCTAAACGCAAACCTCAAAACTTCTGTGTTTATGTCAGGGTGGCGCAGCTCGTATGAATCTTCCACAATCGAGACCTTTAACCAAAAAGCTTCAACAGAGTATCGTAAATAAATTAAATCTGACATGAAATGAAATCTGCATTTGCTATGCTATCGTCACACTACCCCACAAGAGCCACTGGCCTATAGTGCATCCAGCAGATCACCTATGTAAAGCAAAGGGGAGAGAATAGCTTGAGCTACCTCATTCCTTTGTGTGTATTTTACCTCAAGAAACTTATTTCAATTTCCTATGTAAAGTTACTGCTGCTAGGCTATCGGTTTCTCTGGAGCACGTAGGTCTGAGAAACTCTAAACTGCACGAAGAAAACTATTTGCACAACACTGTGAACGACTGTGAACATAATCAAGAATTTACTGATTAATGATCTCAATCATTACTATTCAAGCAATGTATAAATACTTCATTCACAATTAACACTGGAATCGAGGCTAGGCTGCAGCGGCGCCCCCACCCACACGGGCCGTAGGGTCCATTATTAATAAACAACCGACACTTCCTCATTTGAATGTTATCAATGATAAGGTGTGCAGGACTTGTAGCCTAGAGCTGCCTCGGCTGTGTTAACAGAGCAGAGCACCCTTCTTATTGCCTAGTAGGTGTTTACCAGGAAATTCTGGCAGGAACATTAAGCTGTTCGTATCGGCACTGAAATTATCTTGTCTTCGTGGATTGCCAGTGTTCTGTGTTCATTATGTCATATATATACTCGTATTTATTTTACTCCTGTCTTCCGGTACCTTGAGGGAGCACTAACTAGTTTGGTGGATGTGTGACGGGAGAGATTATGTCGATGTATGAAAGGAGGGTGTTGTGTGGATCTGACGGGAGAGGTTGTTTGGGTGGGTGGCAGGTGTGTGTGACGAGAGGGATTGTTTGGATGTGTAACAGGAGGGGTTGTGAAGATGTGTGGCGAGAGTTGTGTGGGTTTGTGACGGGAGGGAGGTGTGTAGGTGCGGCGGGACGGGTTGTATGGGTGTGTGACGGGAGATGTTGTGTGGGTGTGTGATGGGAAGGACGTTGTGTGTTTTTGCGACGGCAAGGATGGCAGCAGTTGCGAGACTGAGCAGTACACATGCGCGTGAGTGTGCCTGCACATGCGTCCAGGAGGCATCAAGTATTCACGAGAAAATACCAGCCATGGGGAAGGGTGCACAGGCTACTACGCTCCAACAACCACATGCCTTACTGTATATTAACTAACTTAAGTATTATATATACAAGCTGAGACTATTATTATACACCTATTATAGATTTAAACATTTGCAATTCAATATTATTAGGATTAGTTTAATATACAGCCAGTCGACCTATTCTTTCAATGTTCTGTATGCATGTAGCTTGTCTCTTCATTTACACATATAATGTTAGACACTTATGTAAGTGGGTAATTAACTAGGAGTGTAGTTATTATATGTATCCTTGCACATGCACACCATAGGCTGCAACTCGCAGTTGCAAACTCTAGCAACTGCATTGGCAACTTTCTAACAACCGCGAGGCTGCAATAAATTCCAACAGCTTCAGTTGCAAATTATTAGCAACTGCAGTTGCAAATTTCAATGCAACTTGCAGTTGCAAATATTTTGTTTAAATTAATGAAATTGATATCGCCTATGTTTGGTCACCCTCTCACAAAATTAGGGGTTTCACCTGCAGGCGCAGGCAGGGAGAGTGGCAAGCTGAAGATATGCTCCAGGTCACCTGCTGCAGGCGGCGGTGCAGGTCGCCTACTGCTGGGTAGGTGTATATCAGCTGCTGCAGGCGGCGGTGCAGGTCGCCTACTGCTGGGTAGGTGTATATCAGCTGCTGCAGGCGGCGGTGCAGGTCGCCTACTGCTGGGTAGGTGTATATCAGCTGCTGCAGGCGGCGGTGCAGGTTCCCTACTGCTGGGTAGGTGTATATCAGATGCTGCAGGCGGCGGTGCAGGTTCCCTACTGCTGGGTAGGTGTATATCAGCTGCTGCAGGCGGCGGTGCAGGTTCCCTACTGCTGGGTAGGTGTATATCAGCTGCTGCAGGCGGCGGTGCAGGTCGCCTACTGCTGAGGTGTATATCAGCTGCTGCAGGCGGCGGTGCAGGTCGCCAACTGCTGGGTAGGTGTATACCAGCTGCGACAGGCGGCGGTGCAGGTCGCCTACTGCTGGGTAGGTGTATATCAGCTGCTGCAGCGGCAGGCGGCGGTGCAGGTCGCCGAGTGCGAGATTTTAAAATTCGATTATGCCTTTAAAAGCTAAACCATTTATTCAGCTAAAACCGATTTTTAATCAGGTTTCCTTTGGTTATAAAATAAGTTTTGATTCACTCGGCCGCTGTTAAATGACACTTCTTGATCTTTCAGAAGTTGTATGTAACATTGCCGGTTTATTTTCCCATTGAGAGAGAGTGTGAAGTGTAGCGGGAGGTGGAGGATGGCGGGTAGCGCGAGCGGCGGGTGGCGTGCCGGGCCCCGCCGCCGCTGCTGGCCGCCGCCGCCGCCACCCCTGGCAGCTGCAGGTGGTGGCCGCGGCGGGTTCTTTGTTCGGGAGCCCCTGGTCGGCCCCGGGGGAGGCGAGGCGAGGGAGGCCGGAGGTCTGGGGGAGGCGCCGGCCGCGACCCCCCGTCGTCAGGAGCACACAGAAAACGGTGGGCTTCACGCACCAGAGAAAACGTGCTCGCACGTGGTCCGATCCTTTTTGAAAACCCGCCCCTCCGTTCTGAACATTTAGTGCTCGGTGAGACTATGTTATTGTTTCAAATGAGTCGGTGGATGGATGACATGTGGTGGTTGTGTGGTGTGGAGGGCGTGGGTGACGGGGAGGAGGTGTCCCGGCGGGTGAGGCGGCGTGGGCGCGGCGGTGGCGGCGGCTGCGGCGAGTGTGCCTCAGTACACTCTGCGGGGCCTGCTGCTGCTGCGCCCACCGCTGGTCCTCACTCCAACAACACTCCCCGCTCAGGTATTTCCACTGACACAACCCGAGTGTTTCCCTCTACGTGGTGTGCCCCTAGTGTGTGTGTGGGTGTGGGTGTAGCAGTGGGGGAGGTGGGTGTGCGGTGGCCAGGCCCGCCCGCTGACGGTGTAGGTTGCTATGCAGTGAAGGGCGTCGCTGCCCTACACTATCGGCGGCGGCGGTGATGGTGAGCTACTACACCCGCTGCCACGACCCTCACGCTCTCGCCTCCCGCTGCTCCTGTCACTTGTGTTAGAGAAGGTGTGGTTGTGTGGTTGAGCGTGTGGTAGTGTGGTGGAGCGTGTGTGTGGGCGCTCCCGGGGTGGGAGGTGGGACGCTGCAGGCGGCGGTGCAGGCCTTAGTCGTGATGACGCCATATTCTGCGTCCTCTTCCTCCCCACATCCCCCGGCTTGGGACACCAGAATCACAGTCGTCGCAGACGTCGCCTTTTAATGTGCTGGTATTAGAAGCATGGCGAAACCTGTTGCATTTAGTGGAGGGATAAAGAAATAGCTTTCACTAGCAGGAAGGTAGTGTGTGTGGAGGCGACAGGGCGCTTCACCCTGCCTGAGGGTACCTGGGGAAGGGCGAGGCGGGGTAGCCGCACCCTGGGCTGCTGCTGCTGCTGGCCGCTCTCACTGACTCACCCCCCCGGCCTCAGCCTCCATGGGGAGGCGACGGGGGTGCGACTACCCTGCCTGAAGGGACCAGACGGGGCAGCAGCAGCAGCCAGCAGCCGCACCTCAGGCTGCCCGTCCTCGCTGCTTCACCCGTCGTCACACTTACCTAAACAACCGTCCTTACCCAACACGTTACTATACCATATGTAACTAAGAGTGTCACTCTTGCACAGTGATAGACAATGTACTTGTCAATGGAGAGTTAGCGAGAAGACTCCGAGTGTGACCCCGAAGTCAGTGTTACTGGCACTGATAGTGTTGCTCTGTCTGCTGCACGACGCACATTTTCGTGTCTCGTGAAAGCATAGAAACATCCTCTTTACTTATGGCTAGAATTTATGTACTGTATAGAATGCAGTATAGTATTAGCAGTACCGTATATTAAAACCCAGACAGTTTGCAAGTGCTGTAAGTATGTGTGTGTATGTGTGTAAAACAAATAAATAAATAAATAAATAAATATATATATATATATATATATATATATATATATATATATATATATTAATATATATATATATAAATATTATATATATATATATATATATATATATAAATATATATATTTATATATATATATATAAAACATGACAATGTCAGACCACGGAGGAAAAATGAAACAGGAAATTTCCTTAAGTACTTTCGTATATTAAATACATCTAGTTAAATACGTCTACATCTAGAACTAAATTAGTTCTATGTCGGGCAAACATCTAAAGATTTAAAATGTAGAATATCGCAACATAAATACTCTGTAAAACATGGCCAATTGTCTAATGCTTTGTTTGTGCATTTGTCAGAAAAAGCTCACCAAATTGATTGGGAGAGTGCTTCTTCAATAACAAATTGTAAAAGCACCTATAACAGAAACATAATTGAATCTGCTTTGATACAGATCACCAAAGAAAGTAATTTGAATATTAGCAGTGGTCTATATAACTTAGATCCATTTCTAATAGATCAGCTAAAGGGCGATTTAAGTAGAATCATTGAAAAACATTTGTCTCACTAATTTATTGTATATATTTACTTCTTTATGTTATAATTACCTATATATTATGCTTGTATGTCTGCTGTATCAGATGGGCCATTGTGCTACATCGGATGTGCCAATTGGGTGCATCTGATGGGCCAATGGGCCTTCTGCGTTGTCCAAGTATTGTACCTCACCTTACTTCACCACTCCTTCCTGCCTATTTATACCCATCACTCGATCTGTAAACTGACCTTCTGAAGATGTATTTAATATACGAAAGTACTTAAGGAAATTTCCTGTTTCATTTTTTCCTCCGTGGTCTGACATTGTCACATTCTTTATCACGTGTTTATTTTCGTGATATATATATATATATATATATATATATATATATATATAAAATAATAATAATAATATTTATTATACACAAGAGTTTTTACATTCTTTTTTACATTCAATTTTTTTTATTTTTACATTTTTTTTTACATTTTTTTTTTACATTTTTTTTTTATAATTTTTTACATTCTTGTAATAGTTTTCCTTTATGGCTATTAATTACTAAATCCAGTAATCAGTTGCTGATTGATCAAGTAAGGTATAATTAATATAAAGTAAAAGACTGAAAAGTCAACCAATTTAAGGGGGCGATAGTTAGGGTTCATAAAAGTTGTTCTAGTGCAATGAAAATTTATTGACGTGTTACACGTGAAGAGGGCTGCAAGTGGTCCAAGTTTCAGCATCGCAGCCTAAATAGAGAGGGAGAAAAAAAAAAAAAACTTTTTTTAACCATTTTTTTACATGTTTTAAAGTTGATATAACAAATACAAATATCAACTGATATTATTTCTATGATACTCAGCTATCACAATACTATATAATAAAGGTTGTCTAGTGGCATTATTATCTCAAACCTATTTAGTGCAATAATACAAATTTTCAAAGTTCACCCAAAAAATTATGCAACAAAATGATGTTTATAAATATATATAAAATCAATAAATGATCTTAGGGGAAATATATAACTTGAGTTTTTAGAGGCACAGACTCTACATATAATGTGCAAGTTCCATGTAAATTGAATAATAAATAAAAAAGTTATTCAACCATATAGTTGCAAATTAGTTACCTGTAAAAAATGAAGGTCAAAGTTCAGCCACCTTTGGCTGAGGTTGATGAACTACCAATTTCAATCAAAATTACCACCCTTGTAGATTGGCATTCCTTCAGTAAGGTGTGTAAGTTCCATGAAGATCGCCTGATAAAAAAAAAAAAAAAAAATTATTAAAAAAAAAAATTAAAAAAAAAAAATAAAAAAAATTAAAAAAAAGACAGCAGCTTTATATTTACAATTATTTATGATATAGTATCAAGATATAAAACATAATACATACTAACCTAATATAATTGGTCTGAAATATGCAACATCTTGCAACATCAAGAGGGAGAACGTCTTGAGTTGCAGGTCTAAGATCTTGAGTGGCAGGTGCCGCAGGTGGTGTGGCAGGTGCCGCAGGTGGTGTGGCATGTGCAGCAGGAGGTGTGGCAGGTGCCACAGAGGTGTGGCAGGTGCCACAGGAGGTGTGGGTGCCTGGGTGTGAGGCGAGGTAGTGTGTTGTGGGGGCGGGAGGCTGCCCTCTCTCTTCACTCAAGGGAACCCTTGTTTTGCCTCAGTGTGGCTTTACGCTCCTTCTTTACTTGGCTAACGCGTAGAGCTCTTGCCTTTAGAGCTTTCTTCTTGTCCGATACTATATCCATTGTGCAGTATATGCAAGAAAATACGATCTGTGCGAGCGCGTCAGGCATGCGACCGCCGGCACAGACACTGAGAGGGTGACTAAGCCAGTAAATCGGATTATAGCCCCTCCCTCTCACAGAAGACAGTTGCCAGCGAGTGTGTTTATAATTTGTATATGCATAACAAGATATTCTCCACTCTATTGCGAAATACTAGACGCTTACAACGTATGACGCATCACCCTACGGCGCACCCGAGCCGCGAGGACCAGATTTCGGGCAATTGCGGCTGGAAAATTTGCTGTAATTACGTTATTTATTATCATAACATTAAACGGTTTGCACCACGGTGTTGCCAGAACGTTGTAGTATTTTTATAAATTTTTCGTGTTTGGCCGAATTTTTTCGGCCAAACAATGATAACGCCCTCTTAAAAATCTTAACAATTTGGGAAAATGAGCTTACTTTCCCTGGTGCTATACTGCTGCACAAATTGACAACATACCTATGCACTCAGCTGCAGGTCCAGACTCATGGAATTCAATATTTATATAGAAATGCAAAGTGCCAGTAGCACAGGCACTCGGTATAGTGTGGAGGAAGAGCTTGGACAAGTGGGAGATACCAGATGCACTTAAATTAGCAGACATTGCTACTGTACAGAAGGGAAGGAGCAAAGCATTGGCTAAGAATTATAGATCAGTTGCACTAATGTTCCACATAATAAAAGTACTATACTAGTACAGTATTTGAGTGATCAGGAGTCCGGTCACCAGTTTCATGGAGACCAATGACCTCCCACAACCCAGGCCAACGTAAATTTAGAGCAGGAAGATCATGCCTGTCGCAGCTACTTGACTACTAAGACAAAGTCACAGGCATTAGAAGAAAAGCAGAATGCAGATGATGTATACACAAACTTCACAAAGGCATTTGATAACTGTGATAATGGAGTGATAGCACACAAAATGAGGTCAATTGGAATAACAGATAAAGTAGGATGGTGGTTATTCAATTTTCTGTCTAACAGAACAGAGTAACAGTCAACCAAATAAAATAGAGTCCAAGCGCAGTTAAAAGCTCTGTACCTCAGGGTACAGTCCTTGCACCAGTGCTTTTCCTTATTCCCCTATCAGACATAGACAAAAATACAAGTCACAGCTTCATATCATCCTTTGCAGATGGCACAAAAATCAGCATGAAAATGACCTCTGCTAAAGATATTGAAAAACTACAAGCTGATATAGTATTAATAAAGTTTTTGACTGGGCAGCAGAAAATAACATAATGTTTAACAGTGATAAATTCCAGTTACAGTACTCTGGTATGGTAAAAGTTAAGGTCCTTAAACCAAATACAGGGTACAAAATGTAATCAAATCTGCCCTTTGTAGGAAAGCAGCATGTAAAGATCTGGGAATATTGATGTCTGATCTAACGTTTAGGGAGCATAATCAAGCAAATATTACGTCAGCCAGAAAAATGATAGGATGGATTACAAGAACCTTCAAATCCAGGGATCACATCACAATGGTTGTACTCTTCAAATCACATGTGCTGTTCTGTCTCCGTCATGAGTACTGCTCGATACTCACTTTTTCCCTTCACAGTGGGGAATATTGCTGAAATAGAGGAAATACAGAGAACATATATGACATACACAGACACGATAAAGCACCTAAATTATTGGGATCATCTCAGAGTTCTCCTCCGAGATGATCCCAATCATCTTTCATCTTTCATCAATACAGATGAAGAACATCTTGAAGATGTTCTTCATCTGTATTCTCTAGAAAGGAGTTGAGAGAGAGATTTCAAATAATATACACATGGAAAATAATGGAGGGTCAGGTCCCAAATCTACACTGTAAATTAATAACATATTGGAGTGAATGATATGGAAAAAAATGAAGAATAGAACTGGTGAAGAGCAGATGTGCCATGGGTACAATCAGAGAACACTGTCTAAACGTCAGAGGTCCACGGTTGTTCAACATTCTCCAGGTGATAGTAAGAGAGATTGCTGGAACAAACATGGACATCAAGAGAAAACTATCTTGTTTTCTTAAATTAGTGCTGGACGAAATGGGCTGTGGTGGATATGTGGGCCTGCGGGCCGGTGCAAGCAACAGCCTGTTGGACCAAACTCTCACAAGTCGAGCCTTGTCCTGGACCTGACTCAGGGAGTAGAACTCCCAAAACCCCATCCAGCAGGTAAAGCCAGAACCAAGGTTCATGTTGGGTATGCTGTGTATCAGAGCCAATTCGACAACATGGCGTCATGGAAGAGTAGAGGCAGGAGGAAATATTATTTTAGAAGACCAGTCAACAGGATGGTTAGAGTCCCTAACATGACAGGAGAGCATTGTTTGTGTCTGTAAATTTAACACTTCTCTTGTGTTTCCTTATGTCTGTCATTAAGTGTGTGGCCAGTTTTGCCAAAGTATTGGAGAGGACAAGAAGAACAGGAAATAGAGGCGACACCAACACTATTAGAAGCAGGAGCAGCAGTGTGAACCAGATTACTGTCTCCACTCGATTATCTGGACTATATGGGAAGGACCCCCAGCCAGATAATCACGTGTTCCAGATAATGGTACTTTTTCACCTCTGAGTCCAAAACTAACCATTTCCAACTATTTTTATACTACAAACAACATAATTTGAATTGCCTTGCCACATATAATTATTAAATATTC